TGGTATTTATTTTAAGGGTGAAACACGCGGTGATGTCTGTTTTTCTCTGGGCCTTCCAACCATGATAGTGATCCCTCTCTATCTTCAAGACATAGTAGAAGACAGACCAAAAGAGTCCACACGGCCTAGTCTGGCGGCGTGACTTCCCGAACTACGGTAGTGCAAAGAGTTCAACCCTAAGGAACCTTTCAATTTCAATGAACTTTATGAAACATATAAAAGGAAATGCAGACCCGATTGTGAACTCGGAAAATATTACCGAATTTCTTCTGTTAGTGGACAAACGAGACTTCGTTGACTTTCAGAGGTTTTACCGGTGTGCGTGCTCAAGCCATGGATCCAGAAGGTAACCTTGTCGACGACTTCGTTTTTGACAGCGGTACAGGACCAGTGAGTTTCCTCTCCTTTTTTACACTTTGACTGAAGCTACATCGTCGTTCCGCATATATGGCACGAAGTATCAGAAGGAGTGTAAAGAAATATCAGTAAGCTAGGTAAAATGCGGTATGTGGCGCTGGCCAGCTTCGCGTAGGACGTACGAAAGACCTGGGCTACACCTGCGTCCAGCATTGAAGGTTCGAGGGAGTATCGTTGAAACGAATTCCGTTACTTTCCCTAAATTTGTAGGACCCTTGAGCGGGAACCTATACTGCTAGTTGGCTCGTTTATCGTGCACCCTCCCAGGGTTGGCTCCTACTCAGGCCGACTGAGCCTTCACCTTCCAAGTTCGTTGGAAAAATTTGTGTGAGAGATTAGAACACTGACCAATACAGGTTGGCTCTGCAACTTGTTATTGCGCTATATCACATTTATGGACACTGGGATTTTGAGTGGAAGTAAAATGCGTGGTTTATCCCGAAGAGCGACTGATCGATGTCTAAAGCTCTATCCTTTAACATCTATAGAACTCCTAGTGCGCAGAAGTGGTTCTACCGTAATCCGTGTTTGTTTCAGTTGTCGAAAATGGTGCTTCATGTACGTAATGCACCATCACCGGGAGCGACATCAAGTCTAGCGATAGCGAAAATGATATCTCAGGAGGCCAAGACAAGATTTTCTCTGTAGTTTAAGAATGGCTCAAGATTTTACTAGTCAATATTCTGTAATAAGAGAAATGGTAGTATTTGTGATATTTCATTGTTCTGGTTATTGGCCATTTCGGTTTTGCAGCGCGTAGGTAAGCCTAATCACAATCGGGTTCGGCATGGTATAAGCCAAACGACTGGTAAATTCTAGTGTGAAGTTTCTTTGGAAGTTCAAATGGCAAATTATCCTATTATGTTCATTGGGTGTTAAGGGCACATTCCGCGATAATTAGAAGGGGAGAAGCGGCTACTGAACCTTCCTTACTGGCATGCTCCTCTTGTAGGGCGATAAAAATAGAGGCGCGGAATCCGGAAGAAGCTATAGTTGAAAGGTTTGCCCATTACTCAGCTCTACTATTACCGCGGAGTGTGTCTTAAGTTCGATTGTGAGCAGGCCTGTACTCGTGCAAAACAGGTGTATGTGTGCAGTAGTTTTCGTTTAGTTCGTCGAAATGTCATGACTTCTTGAAGGTATCGCGAAAATTTTTGCCATTCTTGTACGAGTAATAATGTTTTGGATGTATATTGGAGATAATAGTGTAAATAAATGTGGCCAACAGTTTCTTTGGGTTCTGGGTAACGGCATAGTACTTGGAGATCCTTGTTGTATGTGGCGAATAGGTTCAGGTCACGGTTGTGTTTCTACTTCAGAGGGTGCAGGGCATAACATCTGCGTTCCGGTGACGTGCTGAAAGCGGCGTGGAAAATGGTGTTCCGTGCGCGACATTCGCACCAGCACCTACTTGATCGGACGTGGTATTCATTGTATATTCTGACCTCTATTCGAAAGGAGCAGAATGAGAAAGAAGGAAGGAAAAAGGGGAGGAGGAGGAAGAAAAAAGAAGGAGAGAGGCTCCGCGGTTGACAGATATCCTGAGATTTGGAAAAGCCTTTCCTTACAGAAGTGGGCGCGATCCGCAAGCCCAAAAGATGTCCTGTCTCCGCGTCACGAACCTGCTTGTTAAGAACTCCAGGGCTTTGTCAGGGTAGGCAGTCCCCGCCCCCGTAATCATCCTCCGCCTTACCGTTACGTTTTACCACCGATTAGTAGCGGTGGAGTCTCTACC